GAGTTTCGGGTAAAAATAGGTTGGGGAGTATTTTGGGCATTAGTGACAATATTAAGTGGATATTTTGTGAGAATTAATTGATAAGTGTGTGGAAAGAATTTGGGAGGAAAGAAATAGAATATGTGATATAGAGAGAAAAGAGAAAGATAGAAACATTAAGAAGAAAAACAAGAGAAAGAAAGGAGGAGGAGAGAAAAGAAGAGAAAGTGGAGCAAAACCTAGAATCATCAAGAATCAACCTTAGCTTGCGATTAATCAGGTAAGGGTGAGAAGTTTTATCATCTTGATAATGTATATGATCATGTATGTGCTAGATTGGGTTGTTGGATCGTTTTCTATGTTTCCATTTCTAGGTCGGAAGTTGATTTAATCGGTAGAAACTGAGTTTTATTGGTTAGAATTTGGAATAGACGATGTAGTATAGTCGGGTGATGAGTGGGTTGTACTACTGGAACTGATTTGGATTAAATTGGTCGGTTTGTGAGGTTTGGGCTTTTGGACAGCCATGAGAGTTCTGAGTTCGCAGGTTCGCCAGGCGAATGGCAGCGAAGCTTCGCCGGGTGAAGCCCAGCGAGCAGCAGCGAACCAAGTCAGTAGCATTCACCCTGTCTTCACTGGCAAGTTCGCCAGGCGAATGTGAGTGGCGAAGGTTCGCCAGGCGAGTATGCTAGCGAGTAATTCCAGAATAAATTCCAGTGGTCTTCGCTGGCAAGTTCGCCAGGCGAACGGAGTAGCGAAGGTTCGCCAGAGGCTTCGCCAGGCGAAGGTTAGCGAACATAGCAGCATATTTTCTTTCGTTGTGTTTTCCATTCGTGGATCGGTTGTGTGGTTTGGTTGCGATCATTCCTTGTCTGAGATGACTAATTATATGTTGTTATATGTGTTGCGGGTAGCCGTATGGTGTGAATCCTAGTTTGTGATTTGTGATTTGTGAAGTGTGAAATGTGGCCGTTTGGCAATTTTGTGCATTATTTGAATTAAATAGAGATGCATGGCGAGATTGATTGTGAATGTGAACCATGTATGAAAATTGGTGTGAATGGATGATGAATATATATATATATATATATATATATATATATATATATATATATATATATATATATATATATATATATATATATATATATATATATATATATATATATATATATATATATATATATATATATATATATATGCTTTGTGATACATATATTTGAATGCATAATGAATATATGCGACGAATGTGATGATTGCATGAGTATGTTGGTAAACATTTATGCATTTCAAGAGTGTCATGAGTCATGTTGTATGTGAAGCATCATGGTAGGCATTCTTGTCGATTGATCCCTCAGTGGATTTGCAGAACCTCGTGTGCCCTTGTGGGGTGTGAGCGATGGTTATTTATTGATCCCTCGGTGGATTTGCAGAACCTCGTGTGCCCTTGTGGGGTGTGAGCGATGGTTATTTATTGATTCCTCGGTGAATCTGCAGAACCTCGTATGTTGCGATGGTTATTTATTGATTCTTCGGTGAATCTGCAGAACCTCGTGTGCCTATGTGGGGTGTGAGCGATGGTTATTTTGATTCTTGAATTGAACCTGCTGAAATGAGTCGGTACCGCATTTGCATCTGCATAGAGTCGTGTGTCGGTCTCTGTGAGTTGCATGTAGACATCTGTGCATGATGTATGGTGAATAAACATGAATGTAGATGTTTATGTAGATTTTTGATAATTGGCATGAATGGAAGGCTTGAATATACATGTATGTGTGAATATATGTGTATATGTATGCATGTTTATGAATTGATATAAACATTGTTGATGCACATTGTATATGCTTGGTGCTCTATTTATAAATAGTTAAGCGTGAATACATTGTGATGTACGGTGTAGTGAGATGAGTTGCGGAAGACGTTTTCAGACGTTATATATATATGTGTGTGTGTGTGTGTGTGTGTGTGTGTGTGTGTGTGTGTGTGTGTGTGTGTGTGTGTGTGTGTGTGTGTGTGTGTGTGTGTGTGTGTGTGTGTGTGTGTGTGTGTGTGTGTGTGTGTGTGTGTGTGTGTGTGTGTGTGTGTGTGTGTGTGTGTGTGTGTGTGTGTGTGTGTGTGTGTGTGTGTGTGTGTGTGTGTGTGTGTGTGTGTGTGTGTGTGTGTGTGTGTGTGTGTGTGTGTGTGTGTGTGTGTGTGTGTGTGTGTGTGTGTGTGTGTGTGTGTGTGTGTGTGTGTGTGTGTGTGTGTGTGTGTGTGTGTGTGTGTGTGTGTGTGTGTGTGTGTGTGTGTGTGTGTGTGTGTGTGTGTGTGTGTGTGTGTGTGTGTGTGTGTGTGTGTGTGTGTGTGTGTGTGTGTGTGTGTGTGTGTGTGTGTGTGTGTGTGTGTGTGTGTGTGTGTGTGTGTGTGTGTGTGTGTGTGTGTGTGTGTGTGTGTGTGTGTGTGTGTGTGTGTGTGTGTGTGTGTGTGTGTGTGTGTGTGTGTGTGTGTGTGTGTGTGTGTGTGTGTGTGTGTGTGTGTGTGTGTGTGTGTGTGTGTGTGTGTGTGTGTGTGTGTGTGTGTGTGTGTGTGTGTGTGTGTGTGTGTGTGTGTGTGTGATATTGTTTCTCACCCTTCTGCTGTTTTATAATGCTCTATGAGGCATTGCAGATTAGATTGCTGGAGTCTTTGTGAAGCGAGTCTTCATTTCTTTTGGTCGGATGGCTCTGATATGTAACACTAGGTAGCTAGGAATTATTTTGATTCTTTTGTGATACATCTGTGTGTGTATCTGCTGATGAACGTTTTGTAAACTCAACCGATGAATTGAATTAATATGAACGATGTATATGATGCTTATGTTAATGAAGTGATTTCAATGTTTAAATGTTTCCGCTTTATTCTAAATGTTGATGTGTGGGTTTTAAGCGCTATGCTTTGTTTTTAGTTGAGATTTACCCCTTTTGTTACATATCTTCATGAGCTGGTATTATTTATGTTTCGTTTCGATGATAATGTGATGCGCCTCTTTTATACCATGTTATAATTATACTTTGATAGAATTTTTTTCTTTAAGTGCCTAATTGATTTAATTGTTTATTTGGGGGTATAGAAAGGGGGTGTTACAGTACAGGTCGGCCTGAACACCTTCATAGGCCGACCTATGCAACTTAAAACTTGGAAAATTATTTTTGCATCTTATTTTTCTTGCATTCTTTTTTCCATTTTCTTCACATACCTATATATACTCATACATGCATCTTCCTCTAGGTAAGGTTCCTAATGAATAAAACCTAAACGAAACTAGATTACAAAGTTGTCCATCATCTTCATCCCTTCTTCTATGCATACACACAATTGAACTATACATAATTATTTTTCAATTGGGTGACCATCTAGATTAGGGTTGATAACGTCCAATTAGGTTTAGTGTAACCAAGAATATTGGTTGGAAACTTTGTGTGTTTCAAATAAGAAAACCAATGTGGCGTTTTTCTTCAAGATCGGGTTGATTTGAAGGTTTTGAACAAGATCACGTTAATACATATTCGACCGAGTGAAGGCCATGAGACAAGGTAGTTTCCTTGCAAGTGAGTAGTGTGAGACAGTGAATTGTGTTCGGAAATCTTGGGGTTTCAACAAGTTGCGCGATCGGGATAGAGGTTTAGAGATAGAGGTTTTAAACCTTGTGAGTTGGGCGTACATCAAAGCCTTCCAGAATTAGTGTGAATATTTTGAAACTTGATTCTTCTTGGTTTCTCCTCTCTACAAAGAGGCTCATGGTGCGATATGCACCATAGGAACCGGAACGGAGAATAGGTGTACCAACTTATTTCACAAGTACTGGAAGCGAGGTCATTTTCTAATAGGGAATGAATCATACATTTATAAGGAAAGTGATATGTCTCAGGATGAGCTTTATCTGAAGAAACGTATGACCACTTTCATCAAAAAGTTAGGTCACGTCAGGGGTGTCATTCCTCAGAATAAATTTCAAAGAAACGTCTAAAACGGTTTGTTGAAACTTACCTGTTTATAGACGCTCGTACTATGGAAGAGATATGGTCATATTTAGTGAGATCCCAATATTTTTGCCCAATGTTACTGGTCTCCTTATTTGTAACACCATTGATGTTGGCCTCCTTCAATATGAAAGATAAAAATCATGAGCAAATCATGAATAAAGTTTCACCATATAAAACAAAGAGTATAACAAGTAGTAATGAGAAAAAAGAACAATATTTTCTCTTAATATCTCCTCAAAAACACTCTCTCAAAATGAACAAAAATCATGAATAAAGTTTCATTAGATAAAACAAAGAGTATAACAAGTCCTCTTATAGTAATGAGAATAAAGAGCAATATTTTCTCTTAATATCTCCTCAAAAACACTCTCAAAATGAACAAGAATTCTCACCAAAATTACTCACTTAAACTAATGTTATAATGAGTCTTATGAGCATCTCTCTATCCCAAAACTTATACGACTAGCAAAAAAAGTTACCCCCTTTAAAAATATCTATCAAATTTGACATTGAAAAATTTGATGGCAAGATTATTATTTTTTCTTTTTAATTTGCCGAGTCTAAATGATGGCCATTCTTACCCAGAGAGGATTAAAAAACTTTAGACGAAAAGCCATAACCAATCACTATATTTTACTTACCCCCACGGTTGCCTTGTGTTGACCAAATGGAATTGAAAATTTGGAATAGATCCACTTGGTCTTGTCTCCAAGTAATTTAACTCATTTTCTCACCAAACTCTCCTTTGACTTCAAAACTTGTTTTCTTTATTCACCAACCAGTATATATCAAATTCACATTCCTCAAATTACTCTTTCCTACCTTGGTTTGAAAATTTTGAAATACTATTAGAGCCCATGGATTCATCACAAACCATGGGACACAAACACACCTACCTCCTCCCCCCACAACATATATATAAACAAACACATTCCTTAATCCAATCCAACCCATCACAATTTCTTTATCCATTCAATATCTTATAGTATCTAGCAATATCATTTCTTCACAAACAAAAACATGGGTCTCCTTCATCTCACAAAAAAATCAATCTTTTTCACTCTTGCAATACTCATTCCAATTATCACTACAAAATTCTTATCACCATTCATTGCTTGTGTCTCACTCATACTCTCATTAGTATTATACATATACTCAACTCATTCCAATTCAAACCACAAAACCCCTCCAACCCCTTTTTCTGTTCCTATATTTGGAAACTGGCTTCAAGTTGGAAATGATCTCAACCATCGCATTCTTGCATCCATGTCACAAACATATGGACCACTTTTCCTCCTCAAACTTGGTTCCAAAAACCTAGTTGTTGTCTCTGATCCAAACCTTGCCACACAAGTTCTCCATTCACAAGGTGTCGAATTCGGCTCTCGTCCTCGTAATGTTGTATTCGACATCTTCACCGGTAATGGACAAGACATGGTTTTCACCGTCTACGGCGATCACTGGCGCAAAATGCGAAGAATCATGACATTGCCTTTTTTCACTAACAAAGTTGTTCATAATTATAGTAACATGTGGGAACAAGAGATGGATTTGGTAGTGCAAGATCTTAAGGCTAATGAGATTGTTGGAAGTGAAGGGATTGTTATCAGAAAACGTCTTCAGTTGATGTTGTATAATATCATGTATAGGATGATGTTTGATTCCAAATTTGAGTCTCAAGAAGATCCTTTGTTTATTCAAGCTACAAAGTTTAACTCTGAGAGAAGCCGTTTGGCACAAAGTTTTGAATACAATTATGGAGATTTTATACCTTTGCTTAGGCCTTTCTTGAGAGGCTACCTTAACAAATGCAAAGATTTGCAAACTAGAAGGCTTGCATTTTTCAACAGTTACTTCATTGAGAAGAGAAGGTAAGTCATTATTCAATTAATCTTAGTTTAATTTCTTGTTTGGATAACATCTTAAACGAAAAGCACTTATAGTATAAATGATAAAAGATTAAATAAACTAACGTAAAAGGCAATAAAGATAGTAATCTTTGTTAACGTAGTTCGGTCAATTCTACAACTATAGAGTAACAATAGTTTTGTTTTTCTTGGTTTATAGACGAAGTGGTAATAACTACTAAAAACTCACACACAATTCTAAATACCAGGGTTCGAACCCTGATGATGACGTCTAACCTAACAATATTGACTTCTGCAATTTTTAGTAGAATTTGAGTTGTAAATGGGTTGGAGCACCCCAGTTGAAATAATATTTGCTTATCAAAAAAAAAGTTGAACTAGTTTCATTTTATTTCGATAATAAATTAGAGTTTCTGTGTTACAAACAACATTAGAGTTTCAGTGTTACAAACAATATATAATACTAAGTCTAAATTTATAATAGCATCCTTGAACCGTGCCGTCTATGCATCTTCGGTGTCTACATATATATCAGTCATGCTCAACCGAGTTCATCAGGGCCGGCCCAACATATATAGAGGTGTTATATAGAAAATTTCAAATGATCTTTCTATGGTATGTAACAAGAATTTAAATTTTGTGCAGAAAAATAATGGCAGAAAACGGGGAGAAGCATGAGATAAACTGTGCCATTGATCACATAATAGATGCAGAGATGAAAGGTGAAATAACTGAAGAAAACGTGACATACATAGTAGAAAACATAAACGTCGCTGCAATAGAAACAACACTGTGGTCAATGGAATGGGCAATAGCAGAGATAGTGAATCATCCAAAAGTCCAAACGAAAATCCGCGATGAGATATCGAAAGTGCTTAAAGGAGAACAAGTGACAGAATCAAACCTAAACCAGTTACCATATCTACAAGCAACATTGAAAGAGGTACTAAGATTGCACACACCAATTCCATTGTTGGTGCCTCACATGAACCTGGAAGAGGCGAAGCTAGGAGAGTACAGAATTCCGAAAGAGAGTAAGGTAGTTGTGAATGCTTGGTGGCTTGCAAACAATCCATTATGGTGGGAGAAGCCGGAGGAGTTTAGGCCGGAGAGGTTTTTGGAAGAGGAGAATGGAACAGATGCGGTGGCTGGTGGAGGGAAAGTTGATTTTAGGTTTGTGCCATTTGGTGTTGGGAGAAGAAGTTGTCCTGGGATTATACTTGCATTGCCAATATTGGGATTGGTGGTTGGGAAGTTGGTGTCAAATTTTGAGATGAAGGCTTTGAATGGGATGAAGATTGATGTTACTGAAAAAGGGGGACAGTTTAGTTTGCATATTGCTAATCATTCAACTGTTTTGTTTCATCCAATTGATTAAAGCATGATGAACATGTTGTAAGTTGTAACAATTCAACATACCAATGTTGTTTGATAAGGGTTTGTTTTGTTTTGTTTTTTTCTATTTTGATTTTTGCATGTAATTTTCATAATAATGTACTTTCAATTGTGGTTATCACTACTCATTGTGATTGGGCAGAGTGGAATTGGATTATATATTTAATCAACTTGATTTAAGTGGAAAACTTAAAATATTTGAAAAACATCTATGTTTGTAGAAAAAATATTTTATAGTTGTTTATCCTTAAAAATAAATATATTTATATTTAAAATGGAAAATATTAAATTTAGGGTAAACTGAATTCAATTTATTTAAACGAAAATGAATCAAATTAAAAACAATGGTAAAGACAAGTAAGTCTTTCTGAATATTACTCGCGACTTACTTGCACACAAATTCAAATATTTTACATTTAGAATATTCACACAATAATATTATCATTTGTTTAATATTATTTTAATTTTATGTTTTTTAATTTTTTTTATTTATTTATGTGAGTGTACTAAATATAAAAGATTTGAGTTTGTGACCAAATTAGTATTTATCATTATTGGATAAGGTAATAGTTAAAATCAATTAAAGTTGAGTGAAACTTTAAATTTTATTGTGTTTCATATTTCACAAAAATTATTAAAATTTATAATAGGATATTATTATAGGAGAATTTAACGTGTCACCCTAAATTATTTATGATATTTTTCAAATTTTTATATTATCAAAACTACTTCCGACTAACAAATAGACCAAATTTTTGTATGAAGCTTTTTTGATAGTTATAATGAAATTTTCAATATTGAATGAAACTTTTAGTATATCGAAAATTTTGGAATTTTCAATAAGTTGCAATCAGTTTTTCGGAAATTTGAAATTTATATGGTGATACCGGAAATTTCAACCTAAGTGAAATTTTCGGTAGTGTTGTCTGTTTGATTTTTTTGGATGATCAGAATTTTGCCGACAGTTTTAGATGGTTGTGATTGCACCTACAATTTGTGTGATCCAGAATAAATACAAAGTTGTATAAATAAGAGGTCACATATTGTGATAAACACATCTCAAAAATATGTTCTTCCTCAATTTTTGATTAAGGCAGAAGTGTACTTCAACGGAGTTTCTCCTTCTGTAGAGTTTCGGCTTTCGGATGGCACCACATCTCTTGTCGGTCTGACGTCGAATTTGAATGAATTGTTGCTTGATGTTGAAAACAGAAAGGTGAGCAAGATTGAGTTTCATGAAGATTAGATTGATACTAACAAGAGGGTGAAATACAACCTTATTGAGTTGAAGACGGACGAAGATGTGAAGGAAATATGGAGATCATTTCGCCGGATGACAAAGGGGATGATCGAGTTAGTTGCTAAGCATTCAAGATCGGTTACCGACATAATGGAGATGCTGAAACGTCCATAAGCATCTGGTAGTGTTTAGATTTTTCTTATTTATTAATCATATTGTAGTGTTAGGTTTTTTCTATTTAAGTTATGTAATTCATTGTCAAATGTTAGTTAATGCTCACGTTGCAATTTAAGGAAGATCAATAATATTAGCAAATAAATAGTTATGATGAAGATGTCTAAATAATATACAAATAATACAAAAGATATCTAAATAGGCCCCCACAGGCTATGTGTGCAGCCCGAGATAATCAAGTATAAACATCTCCAACTGAGTTTACTAAACTCATGAGGTTATCCACAATAACTACAATCATCTAGAGGTATTGTTGGTCATCGGCATCATCTACTGGAGGAGACGGTGGCGGCACGTCATCAACAGGTACCCCGACATCGGAAGGCCCAACATCAGTTATAGGTGGGAAGATGTGAATGTGTGATACAGTGGGGTACCACTCTAAGTAACCATTCTCACATTGTGAGGGGTGCTGAACAATGATTGCTCGATCTCTAATGGAGCGATTAGAGCTAATGAAGTTACTCTAAAACCACCGATCAATACCCAAAGATGGTATATTTAGAACTGGTCATGGGATACTTTGAGCATAACCGTATTTTTGCAGACACCTCTCAAGCAAGTATCTAGCAACCATGGTCTTCTACCGCATATAACCTGAATATAATAATGAATCCTCAAACTCATGGTGGACTCTATGACTAGTGTATAGTGCCCTGATGACATCATCTACATTCAGCGCATCGATCCTCCTCCTGTGCTCAGCAACACAACCAGGATGTGACTGTATCGCCTTCCACCTCTTCGCGAGTGAGGACCCAAATTCACAATGTTGCACCCTCCTGTCACAGATGGTGGGGAAATGCTCGTATATCCAACAGTAATATCAAAACAGAGACACAACAAATAATAAATAAGAAATGTTATTCATAAAAAAATAAATAAGAAAGCAACAACAAATAATAGTTTCAAGTATACGTGTAACAGAATCAAATAGCCAGTAAGCTATTTGGTCTCAAAGACCATCGCCACTCCAAGGGTTGTATACAGAAAGGTCAATGCAGCACACCCTCAAGTCCAACCGGTGTCCTCGAGGCTACTGAAGAGGCACGCGTACTGGGCATCCATATAAACACCAGACTTGTCCACAAAAAGAGTACATGCTACTATATGTTGGTGACTTGATCAAACTTTGATCAAGGGTTTGAAGGTGGTAGATACAACAACAAGCCATAAGGTTTGTGGGGTTAGAGTTCTTCATCTCTTATTTAAACATTTTTTTCAAGGATAATGTTAATTGCAATTATCTCAATTTGATTTCGAATTGAGGACAGATGTACCCATAGCGATGCCATTAGGGAATTGCCTAAATAAATATTTGTGTCTCTATCTCTCTATATCTCTTTAAATTGTTGCTCTTGCAAAATATCGAGTTCATTGTTGTTTTGATCAATTTAATTGAAAATTGTGTTTCAATTATCTTTTAAAGTGTTGTTATTGATATAATCATAATCAATTTGATTGTGATTAGCTTTTAACATCAACAAAACAAATTCAATTTCTAAACGTTATCGATCATACACAAAGTGTTCGATACATTGCCTTTGAGTATTTTAATTTATTTTTGTTCATTGAAAATAAGCTCTACGCATAGCTTATCATTTAATTGATTTGTGAATTTATCGTTGTTGAACAATTTGTGTTCATTATCATCCAATTGGTTTATGTTATGCATATCCAAGCTTTTTGATAGTAGGTTCGCTTAGACAATTCAATTCGGATTATTTTCGTTGTGCCATAAAACTTTTGAAAACAATTTTTGCCAAAATTTGTGATTTATTCACCCCCTCCCCTCCCCCCCCCCCCCCCCCCCCTATAAATTAGTGAGACCGTCAAAGCTCTATGGAACGCATTAGAGGTTGCCCATGAGGGTACTAATGATGTCAAACAAGTTAGGATCAACACATTAAATCAAGAGTTTAAGCTGTTTCGTATTGAGGATGATGAAATCATTACCAATATACGAAAACGGTTCACACATCTTATAAATCGATTCAATGCACTAGGTAATCCTATTTCCAATGAACTTCCTACTAACAAAATTTTGAGATGTTTAAGTAGGGAATGACAGTCCAAGGTCACTTCCATCAAGGAGGCAAATGATCTTAAGTCTCTTAATCTTTTGGCTTTGTTCGGTAAGTTGGAAGAGCATGATCACTGATGGCTTAATTCGCAAGTGCATGAAAATCGTCAGAGTAATATAAAAGATTATCGATCCCACAGAGACTAAACGTCAATCTATCGTTCGCTAATATTACGGTGTTTATCTAAGGCAAGTCAATAAAGGGGTTTGCTGTGCAAAATAAAAGTAAAGTACGGAAATAAATTCAATAATAAAACAACAGGCTCAGATGCAATTCACATAGCTACGTAGTATTCCAAATGTGTATAAATAGAATGCCTTATAGGGTAATGTTTTCTACTCATAAAAAGAACTAATTTAACGGGAACTGTCTCTTTCGCGTATTCAGAACCGAGTTTATCCCCTAATCGATCCCTCTTATTGTCACTTATAAAAAGGCGTGCATTGCGTTAGAGTTGATTAAACCTATTTTTAAGAAATATAGTTTCTTAACTTAGTCGAAAAGTATTTTAACCTGGAATTTCTAACAAAAAGAGGTTCTTACGAACCGGACTTTAAATCCATAAAGGCGTCCGAAAACAGTTTTAAAATCGGTTTTCTTAAACATTAAAAATTCCTAATTAACTGAACCAAGCGCTTTCGCTTCCTTTGAACAGTTAAAACTAACCTAATTTATCTAAAGGTTGGACGGCTTTCAATCTTACCCAACAGAATTTAAGTGCGGAAAATAAGTGTTAAAAGTCAAAATAACTCCTAAGTAATTCTATCGACAACCGTATGGAATACTATTATAACTATAATCCTTGCATCCTAGCCTTTAAGATTTAGCCGGACATGGTAAGGTAAATAGACATAGTAAATAAATGCAAGTAAATAAAGTGCGAGGAAATAAACAAAGTACGGTAAAGGGTGCGATAAATAAATGGTGCGGAAAATGAAAGCGGATAATAAAAAGCGATAAATAAACAGAAACCTGCTCCAAACGGGAGGCTTTAAATCTTGATACAACTGGAAGTAAATGAAAGAAATAAAATGGCGGCAGGATTAACTTCTACCCAAGTGCTCCAAACCCGATTACAGACTCGATAAGACAATGTGATAACCCCTCGATGTGAGAAGTTTATCACTTTACAATAGGTGAAATTTATGGCTTGAGTTCTGTAACTAAGCTTGGATGATTAGAAATGACACAGAACACCTCTATTTATAATGGTAGGAAAGTACAGGTAAGGACAAGAATGCCCTCCAACTCCTTTTGGGAGGGAAACGAGATTGCAAAGGTGGCGCCCGCCACATGAACTAGGGTGGAAAGGAGTGGGAGACGTGACAGTTGTCAGCAGTTAGCCTTCTATCCAATGTGTGACATCCCCTATGGCGCCCGCCATGGTGGAAGCCCTGTGTACAATTCCAGATAATGTTGGTCTTT